CCTCGTTTTCTTCCCTTATTTTTTTACCAGTTCAGTCATCGGAATAGATGCACCACAACCGATTTCCTTACCCGACTAAATAATCCTAAAGTCTCCCATGGCCGCGACAGAGCTGACGGGAACCTTCCAATAACACAGAAATCCTAATTTCCTACCGGCGTCTCTTCGCTCATCCTCGGCCGCTCCGCGTCTCACCTTAATTCTTCGCTGAATTGATACCTATTTGCTTTTCCGCCACTATCCTCGAGCCGCCACACTTACGCCGTGCCGGGCGCACGAAGCCAACTTTCTCACCATACACCTTCATCCACCACATTCTCCGTACACAACCGCGGGAATGCCTTACACACCACCCTCCCACCACCGATCGCCAGCAAGCTCAGCACCGTCATCGCCCGACGTGAGCAGACGTTCCTCCTTCCAGTCCAGCCCCAGACCGTCATTACCAAGGTCAGCATCATACCTCACCAAGCACAGGAGAACGCCGGCAGCGGCAGCAGGTGCTCCCACAACAAATGGCAACTCAGACCAACCTACACCACCAGGAACGTCGGACGATTTGAAGGGCATGGCCACCAACAGCAGCAGTGTGAGGCAATCACCGCCGCCATTGACAGACGAGCGAGGCATGCCCAAGGGCGCCATCATCTCACCACCCGACTCGGGAAGCGAAGAGGAGGACGTCGCAGAGCGTGGAAGGCAGATTGACAATCTTAAGGAGCTTCAGGACATCATCAGCCAAATACCCGTTAAGAGGGAAGCCTCCCCGACCAGCTCCAAGCTCGACCAACCCGCACTATCTCTCATCACCAAGGAAGACCTCCCCAAGGAGGGTTTGCCCACCAGCTTTAGTACCAGCGCCCTGGACGCCCTCGCTCAGACGGTCGCCCGCCGCGTCAACCATGTGAGATCCAGTACCGAGCCCAGAATAGTAATGGAGTCGGCTTCCATCACTGGCTCAGAATCCGATTCGGACGGTAACAACTTCGAGAACAAGCCGCCAATGGTACGCAAGAAGTCTGGAGAGCTCGTCAGACCCGCACTCCGCCCCGCCTCTGCTCGCAGGCGGCCATCCAGCATGCCTGGCACCCCGACCTTTTCCAAGGCCGTTCACTTCGATTCACACCTCGAACATGTCCGCCATTTCCTTCAGGTTGATCGGCCGCTCGCTGTCAGTGCCGGATCCTCGCCGGTCGATGCCTACGACAGTGATACCGAGTACCCCTTCCCTGGAGAAGAACGCCAGAACGCTCGCACTCCACCGTTCGAGTGGGAGATCGTCACGGCAAACCACCCCGCCGATACCCCCATCCGCAAGTCACTGCCTGTCCGCCTCGAGAGAGTCTGGTTGTCACCCGACCAAAAGAACTTGTTGGGCTCTGTTGCAGTTGCCAACCTAGCATTCCAGAAATACGTTACGTGCAGATTCACTCTGGACTACTGGAAGACAACCTCGGAGGTCGGTGCCGAATACTCACATGAGGTTCGCGCTCAGGACGACCACGTCGCTCAGGACCGATTCACGTTCAGCATCAAGCTCTCCGACCTGGCTAACCTCGAGACAAAGACGCTATTCTTCTGCATCAAGTACAACGTCAATGGCCAGGAGTACTGGGACAACAACAACGGCACCAACTTCCAGGTCGACTTCCGCAAGAAGCATTTGCCCCAGAACGGCAAGCGAGGCCTGCAGGGCGCTGCTGGCCGCCCGGCGCTCCCCCGTAGCAACCGCCGCTCGAGCCCTTCGTCGGCGCCTCGGCCTAAATCCATGCCTGTCGGCTTCGACGATTTTGGCAACCAGTCCAAGCTGAACTTTGACCAGCCCATCCACGAGTACTTGGGCGAGTCAGGCCCAACTGCTGGACTTCGCCTCAAGATCAACAAGTCTACCGGCAATCTGGCTAGCGATAACCTCTCGAGTCGACTGACTGCCCCCAGTGGACAAGCCTTCTCCAACCGCTACGACTTTGGTGCCTCCCTCACTGCTGCTGTCCAGGCTGCAAAGGACACTATTGGCAAGGACCGCAATCAGGATGGTCTCTATATGAAGAGCCATCGCAAGATTCACGTTCCTGCGCAACAGCCCCAGCAGGCGAAGCCGGCCCCTGCCGTGACCGCTCCCCCTGTCTCAAAGCCGGTTGTGAAGCAGCCTACCGTCCCTGGCACCGACTCTCCCAACCCTTCTCTTGCCTCGTCATCATACGAGGAATTGGTCAACAAATACTGCTTTGTACGTACTTCCGGTCAACAATCATCCATGTCCGACCCTTTCATCATCGACCCTCACCGATCGCCCACTCTCAGCCCAAAAAGCATGTACTGACCTTGGCTATCAACAGTTCGGCTCCAAGCAGTCCAGTCCTCAGATTAAGGATGGCACGTTGAGAAACGGCAAGTTCGACGGAGCTGACGATGTTTTCGCGACCCGTGGATCCAACAGCACCAGCTCGAGCTCCAACGGCAGCCCCAGCATGGCCCACCAAGCGCAACACGCCGGACCCGCACAACACCACGCCTTCCACCTCCGCGACTCCAACCCTTACTTTCAGCACCTAGGGTCTTACGGTGCATCACCAGCCTCATCTCCACTCAGTCAACCTTTGCAAAGCGAACGACCCGCAAACCAACGTCCGAGTCAGGCTACCACCCCAGCAATAATGAGGTCCGCTTCCCCCTCGACCTCGGTGGGTGGCTTCCCTTTCGCCGGTACGTCGCCAAATGAATTTCCGTACGCCCAGCAACTGCAGGAGCGCTTTCCATTCAATACCGAGACTCATGCGGCAACAGCAATTAGGGGTTAACGGCGTCGCTCGCTCCACCATGTAACCGCGATCGTCTCTGCGGTCTCGTCATTTGACTTTTCTCGATTGTTTTTTTGGACGAAAAAATTTCATCTTATCTTTCGGACACTGGCGTTTAATGGCATTCGACGCCAAAAGGCCAGGGACGGCCATGGCATCGCGGGGAGGCGTTCAAAGAGTCATTCACAATCCATGGCCCTCCATTCGATTTCGCGACTTCCCGAGCATACGAAGGGCATTCGGGGGTCATTGGGAAAACAAACAAAACAACCTTGCTTTCTTGGTCTTTCATTCGTTGCCCATTCTTGATGAGCTCAACGCAGCGTCGAGGGTTCGAGTCTCCTTTTCGAATGGGTACTCAGGATCGATCTGCATACAAGGAGTTCCTTTAATGCATAATTCGCTCGCACCTTCACTCTTGACCTTCAACAGCGGCTGTCATTGCGCTTCGAATTATCTTGTCATTTGTATTTTGCTCCTTGTCGAGCTTTCTTTCCGCGCACGGTAGAGGATCCAGGACCACCAGCACACGACATTAGGGGTCTTAGAGGGATACTGGCCATCGAATACTTGCTTTATTGGATTGGGATGATACTAGATGACATGAGATTGTCTCTGTCCGCCTTAGGCGGATGATATCAAGGGTGTGCACCGGATCCCCGACCTGTTCAACTACCCCAGTACGCTGAGTGGTATTGACGGGCCTGTCGAGGAGATTCGGTAGCGGTTGGGTTTGGAACGGACAAAAGTTGAGGAACCGAGTCTTGAGATTGATTGAAGCATCGGCTCGTTCGTGACACAATAGGTACCGGTTCATACAATGGGCGTTGGGAACATGGACGCAGTCACTTAGCAGAAGCGTTCGGCCATTTGGCTTGATTAGTTAGGGTAGCATGGGAAGACAAAATAACCTGCCATTGCTCACACATTATTATTCTCTGTCATGTCGTTGCTGTACTAACTCAGTCTTGCGTTCCAATTCATATTAGTGATGCTCTCAACACCCCGCCACATACCCCGGACGCACCTTCACCGCCGGAGCGACACCCTACCCCTTATCAACGTCTTACCTGCCATTGACAATCATCATTTTCAAGTTCTCAACCTCACAACCCATACCATGCGACTGCGACCGCGACCGCGAACGCATAATGATAGTGGCCTTTTAATACTTACCACGATCAAGTGATTCATTCTCTAAGGTCTCGTCGGTGCTTCATTTCGTTTCGCGGTTTCAGGCAGGGTCGTCGTTTTCGCTTTCGGATTTGGGGGCAGAGTTGTACGAGATGAGTGGGGTCGTTCGTGTTGCATGATCTGGGGCGCCCATCGTGAACGAGGATTCGGTCCCGATGTGTGTGAACCCCGCTCCCGGGGTTGCCAAGGGACGGGATGTTTTCTTGTACATGGCTTATGGGAGAGTGGCGGATGCGAGCAGGATGGGTTGGCGATGATGAGCACTCGATGGGATATTGGTAGTCTGAAGCATAAGTTCGCTTTCACGATCGCTCAGAAACAGTCCCCCTCAAGGACGAATGCGGACTCTTGGACTCAGGGCCGCCTGGGTCGAAACACATGGTAGAATGCAGTAGCTTTAGAATAAAACATGCTTGAAGATCTAAAAGCACGCTTGCGATGTCGGACTGGAAGGACAGTTCTGCGAACTGCGGATCGCAGTATCCAAGAAGGAGAAACATGCTTGTGGGCTGGCAGTCCAGGTACATAGACAGAAAGATGTGGTGCCTTGCTAATGGAGACGACATACAGGAATGAAGATACAGTGCCACTAGAGACATCTGTATTAGCAGTCTCAACGACCTCATCGTCAGCATACGGGTGGCTATTAACTCGAGGGGGATCATGGTAGTATCTCTTATCAATAGGACACCCGTGGCTTGCTTAGCCGCATAGAATTGCAAAATAGTAACGGGGTTGGCACTCTTAAGCCATCTGACACGCCCGGACTTAACTTGCTAAAGGGTTCTCGATAGGTTTTGAAAATCGAATGTTTTAATCTTTGCGGCTCTTCTGTGTTCGTCTTTGGTGGCCTCCGGGTTGCGTAGTCTATGGATCCGAGTTCATAGCATCAAAGTTATTGCAACCAGTGGTATTGTATTACAATATGCAACACTGTTCTACGGTGCGCCATAAATCCTCCTTCTAAAGTGATTTTACATCCTTCCCCCAACCCTTTTTTCCCTCTCACTGCTCAGTCATACCAGGAGGGCACCCGCCAGTATAGTGTTCACATTCCGCAACCCAATCACTACCGTAGCTCGAGGCGCAGTTCGCTTGGGTGATGGGCGTGCCCATAATACACTATAGGTGTCAGCATTGCAAAGGTGCTCATAAATACTTGTTGGAACCTCTTACCGCCTGGACGTTGGTCGTCTTGTTCACGCAGTATTTATGGCCAGAGCCGGGCTGGCAGAAGTGATAGGCAGCGTGCAGATCGGGGACGCTCTTCTTGTAACAGCTGCACATCCAGGCTGAAACACTCAGAGGAGCGCTGAGATGCGAAGTCAGATATCACTCAAGCAACAAGGTGAGGACATCTTACAGGTACAAAAATGCAAGAATCGGAGCGGCCTTCATTGTGAAATGATATGGACAAGTAGGACTGTACAATGGGGTTGAACGATGAGGATGATGGGGTTCTATACAGAGGGTCTAGAAAACTTGGCGTCTTCCATTTTATAACCTGTTTGCTATGTATTCTGACAACCCACTTAGTCGTGATAGGTAGCCTCGACTGACTTGTCGAGACTGGAAATGTGCGTTGCCGAGACAAAAAGTCTGTCCCTCCCTGTCTGGCTCTTTGCCTTTGGGCTACTATCGCACTAGTCAAATTGAACTAGGTTATCGTAGTTGCCTTTTCGACTTTAGGCGTCCGTCATCCAGCTTGTCATGCTGAGGCTCAGAAGCATCCCACATAGTGCCGATAGTATCCCACCGGATGCTATCAAATGCCAAAAGCTTGGTTTCTTAGAGCGGAATCAGTCAACCCAATGATCATGCAGTTCTGTCCTAATCTGGCAATTCCAAGAGTTCTTCAATCCATGCTGTAGAGTTTTGAAAAAAGATGTCAATACGGAGAGAGTGCCTGCTGACGTCTCGGCGGACCCGACGAGGCGGCACCTTGATATATTAAACAATAATTGAGTTCTTGCAGTCAACAGCCGTGGGAAACGACACACTTTTATCTCGTGTATAGACTCGGAGAGTTTACCCAAAGCAGTAAATAGTACCATAGTAGAATCCCAAAGTAGCATGGCCTCCGGCACCTTTCTTATCGTACTTACTTACGTAGGGCCACCTGTCAGAGGCGCCTTGGTGCCGTGATGGTAATCCGGCTCAATGGGCATTCTTCTAGAAGATCCACAAGCCGGCGGGAAAGGCTTGTCCAAAGCTTGTTTTATAAGATTGGTCCCTAGACAAGCACTTTGTGATCTCAATTTGCTAAGAGTCGCCGGTGAGTGCGAAGGCTCCTCGGCAGACCCCCTACCCTAGGCCACCTGCGTGTTGGGGATATCCAACTTTCACAGATTGACAATTCTCCCAATATGGACAAATGACAGCAAAGTGGGTGGCCGAGGCCTGGGCACTCTGCCGGTCAAGCTTCGCGCTACTAAACATTTGCTTGCGGTGATGATACAGCCGCGAGTGTTCAAACGCGGGAGATATCTGGAGATACAAGGAACGGAGACATTTTGGATGGTCAATGCCTAAGCACTTTTGTAAATCCCTCACTTTCTGATTTCACTCTGCGCTTTCGGCCATTCGCGGCAGTGTCTCCTCGGCCTTGGGGATGGGCTCGATACTGACTATAGGACAACTATTTAAAGTCCGCTGCTGATCCCCCAGAAGTTCTTGCCAACTCTAGACTCATACCTCGTCAAGCATTCATTCTCTTACTTCTACTCTCGCTCTATACCTTCCCAGATTATTCACTCTTTCAAATCCTACAATGCGTCTCACAGGTGCTCTCGCTCTGCTGTTGGCCGTTGCCACAGCCTCCCCTGTTGCAGTCGCCGACATTGGATCCAAGGACGTCAAGGAGATCAACGGTCAGTATATCTGATATGACATGTTACTGCAGTCTTCGCGGTAAAACATCAAAGAGAGTCCCTGCTAACGTAATGTAATAATAGGTCTCCCTGTTGTTAGCGTCGAAGCTCTACAGTCCATCGAGGCTCGCGATGCCCTCATCACCAAAGGTAAAGTAGGAATCATCATGATTAAGATTGCTGTAAGCTGACTACGCCAGACGTTATTGCTGCAGGCAAGGCCGATGTTCCCGTGGAGAACTCTCTCCAAGCTAGAGGTGCGTACCCTAAGCTCATTACCCAGGAGTTCATTATTGACACAATTCTCAGTCTGGCCTGCCTCTCACCAGAGCGACCACTTCAGGGCCGGAAACGGATGGGCCAACAGAGTCAAGACTCGCATCATCGTCAGCGGAGTTCACCTCGTAGTCACTGCTTGGTTCAACGACATCCACACCATGTTTGTGCAATTTGAGCCGGATTTCCCCAGTGGTACGTTCACACACTTAATGAAGTCTGACTCTAAAGAGCCGGAACTGACAAGTAGCGAAGCTCCCAACTTCTTGATGGCTGGTCTTGAGGATCTCGCTACCGGCTTTCTCCGACAGCCTTGGAGAATCGCCTGGGATAGCATCTACAGCCTCACTACTAGGGGCGGTGAGACCTTGCAGTTCGACAACCAGTTTGTCATGTGGTGGAAGTGAGCCCATCTTCAGGATATCAACACTTGACTGGGCCGAATAATCAATGCGTTTCAGTCGTCCTCCTCGTAGGAGGCACCGGTTGTGGTTCCATATGCACCATCGAGCCGGCGATGTAGATGCAGATAATGTTCGTCGTTTGGCCTGGGAAATGGAATGGTATGTGCCAGAATATGCTGCTTCTATACTTGTTTTCTTCTTCTCCCTGCTCAGCCACCCGTAAGAGGTGTTCGGCACTGGTCGTTCCAAGAGTCGGGTTCACCTCAGTTATGCTTCACGACAAACAGAACTTCCGGGTGTCCATTGCTAGCTTAAGTATTTCCTCATCAATCACAAAAGTTATGCAGCCATAGAGTAAGACACATCTCTAATCAAATTCTGCCGGTCACTACGAGATGAACTAGGAAAAACGGATCTGAGTCTAGGAAATTTCACAGTTCTGACCGTTAACGCAGCGATTCTCCCCTTGCCCACTGCTCATCAGTGTGCCCGCGAACTGTCTTTAGGTACTTATTGAAAGCAGCAGAAGTCTTGATTACTTGGCTGAGGTGTTCCCAGTCCAATCGTTCCTTGCGATGCTTCGCAAGTTGTCGCGCCGTCAGTAGCGCATTCCTGATTTGTCTGCCGTTCATCTCTTCTGATGCCAACTGGTCGAGTCTTCTTTCTAGTTCTGGCATGTTGGCATCTTCCTCCGCTGACTCCTCAATCATGTCGAAGAAGTTCTGCCAGATGGCTTTGCGTGACATCTTGGTCAGGTTGTCATAGTGAATCGCCACCTGGATACGAGATTTGAATGCCTCATCAAAGGATCCAACGCGATTAGACGTCAAGATGAGAATGCCTTCATAGTACTCGAGGATCCGTAGAAACACTAAGTACCTTAGAGTAAGTTACATATTCAAGTACAGCGTCGGAAGATTCGTACGTACCTGATACAAGACTATTTCGCTGTAAGTCTGCCATAGTTCTCTCCTCCAAGAAAACGTCTGCTTCATCTAGCAAGAGAACTATTCAAATGTTAGTTTCCATCAACGCTAAGCTACCTAGACAGTCTCATAGGAATGGTAACAAACCGCAATCCCAAGTTTTCCCCAAGTACATCACTGTCTCAAGGTACTTTTCCACATCACGTGCGTCGGTGCCAATGTCACCGCAGGTGACTCGATACAGCGGTTTTTCTGCGATTTCTGCAACACTGCAAAATTTCTCAGCTGATTGCTCTCAGCGTACACCCGATAGATGATCGTGCCTCACCTTTCCGCCGTCAATGTCTTTCCAGTCCCTGGGCTTCCATGGAGAAGGATTATCAGGCCGCCGCCTTTCCCAGTGATGATGTCGTCCATCTTCTTCGCCGATGTCTGAACGTCGACGAGTGCTCGAACCATTTCCTTGGTCTTGATATCCAAGACAAGACGATCAAATGCTTTGTAGTTCCAATCTACTGCATGCGTATTGTCGACGTATAGGACGACTGCAACAAGGAAGCGTCAGTATCATTTGCATGGGGTTATCTCTATTCTGTGGTCCTTACCCCATTTTTTTTCTTTGAGATTGAAGCCATGCACAGTGGCTGGCAGTAGCATTTCAACTCTGTGAGTTAGATCCTCTCGACGGCTGATCCTCACAGGCCACGGATCATTTCCGGTTGGCGGCGGCTCTAATGACGGGTGATGGAGGTCGTTGTGCATGATTTGATATGTCGCCGCGTCCACCATGAATCTTGCGGAGGCCTAGCGGTAGGTAGATTAGCCCCTTCCTAATTGATTAATTTTGGTGGTATTTTTGCCAACATATTGATGCTTTGAACCCTTGTCCCATCCTGTGTAGCAGATGTACACTTGATCTCTCATGCTCCAGAACCTTTTTCCCCTTTGAGCCAAGGTCTTGGCGTCCTCTTCTCTAGCAAATTCGATTGGGTGAATGACGAGGTCGCAAATCTTGGTCTTCTCCTCAGAGATAGCTCCAAGGCTCTCTGTTTCAGAAGCTCGCTGCAAGTTGTGGCCATTGTAGTACCACTTCCAGCCAAGGAGTATAATCTCATCTTTTCTGGCTAGGCTGCACGAGTTTAGTACAAATGCGACTTTCGGCTCGCCTTTCTTTTTGACAAGAAGCATTTGGTTCGGCTTGAATAACTTAAGGGCGTGGTAGGCGTTCACGTAACCCTGAAGAAACATCTCCTCGGCTTCCACATATTCAGCCTCGTAACGTTCCTCGAGGAATCTTTTCAGGGGCAAGATCACCTCATGGTATGTTCCAGTCTCTGCCAGAGCCGCTAGCTTCTTCCGGTGGTGGAACAGAAATAGATACGGAGCTTCCATTTCCGTAACAAACTCATCCTGTTCACTTGAACGGTAAAGTTGAAACTCCGCAACCTGCTTCAAAGCTTTCTGGAGTAAAGGCGACACGATTCTGAGCCTCTCCAGCCTGACTGAGGGCGTACCAGCATGATTCCGTACTCTGGATATCTGGGTTTCAGCTCTCTGGTCTTGAGCGCAGCGGTGTTCCTTGATGACAATGAAACAAAGCGATGGCCGCTTGCTCAACCACGTGTCAAGATTGAGGATCACCTTTTCGGCGTGGAGCCACCTTGTGTCGCCAGAAATGTTGCTCTTTCGACTGACTGGCTCATTTTCACACAGTATTCCGTCGTGCTGATGAAGCTTGGCTGTACAAAATATTCGATGAACAACTTGATAACCGAGAGGATGGCTGACGGCTACCTCCTCACCTTGCGACTCGCTATCAGAGTCACTTTCGGGCCTGTCGATATCGCGGCATTTCGCTTGACTCTCCAAAATCTGGATAATGTCAAGAAGATACGACACGAAGGTGGATATCTCCTTGCTTTGGTCCAGAACGTCAATGCCAAGTTGCTTTTGTGTCATTGATGCGAGAGTTTCGGCAAGGCTGGCATCGCGATTAGGACTATTCTTTTCCGCGAGGGTCTGAAGGTCAACCTCTTCTCCTTTTTCATATCCATGGCGAAGGCTGTCGGCTCTTGATCGCTCAATCTTTCCCAGGCTGGTCTCTTTCGAGCATGCATTCGGAGACAACTCCCTTCCAGCTTTGAGACTCTCCCGCCATTTGAGTTTATTCGATGTTTTGGGAGTTGGAGATGATCTAGAACGTGGTGGCACAGAAGATCTGGGGTGTGGGAACTGGTCTGTCTCATCGAGGGCTCTTTCTCGTAGATAGTCATAATCGCTCCGCGGTGGGCTCAAGCCGCCAACCTGTCCCCAGCTCATGTAGGCCCCATCGTGATGTGAGTCTCTAGAACTATGAAGTTGGAGGCCTATAGCTTTTGTAAGAAGCGTTGTGATAGAAAGAAATAATCGAAGTAGCTTACTTCCTGAGTTTAAGTGATTTCTAAGGCGTGATAACATTCGACGTTCCCTCTTGGCTTTACTAAAAGTGTCGTCTCGTGGAATGGCCGAGCTGATGACCAGACTTGCATCATCCTGAACAATTTCCCGCGATCCCTCACTTGCATCACTGTCTGAACCCAAGTCATTTGCCTCCGCTATGTTCGCATCTCTCTTTCCAGGGGCATCCTTCGGCTGGTGTTGGTCGGACTCTCCATCCATTGGAACATTTGAAATAGCTGACTGAGATAACATGGCGCTTGTGTAATGCCTGAAGCATGAAACTCATCAACAGAACATGAGAACCTAGAAAGCATCGGGGAAGCCTGACATATACGATGATGTAGCTCAATGCCAGCTGATGTTTCCGCAAGAAAGGTGAGGGCAGGGAATTGCCGCCGAAATCTGTACGTACAGCAGTAGGTCAGGCTGACAGGCAACCTTCCCCTCACAGCAACACACGTGACTCTATATGATGACTGCCTCGATTTATGCGAAGTAGATAAGGGGCGACAACAAATCATGATGCCTGTTGCGCTGACTCAATGAGATCTCGTCAAGATACACTTCTGGGTGCCAAGAAATGACAGGCGTTTTAATATCTACACCAAGAATTACGAAAACTTGCTGTTTACATACAGCCGACATCTACAGGCTCTTATTGCCTTGTGCGCAGTTCAAGTTGCAACACTGCCACCAATTTTCGGCCTCGCACCAACAGAACGTTAGGCGCGCTGGCTGCTTGCAAGGCGCACCGTCATTTTTGTTAGAAACATTGGCCAGCCTCCGCCAATCGGATTGGAGCCAGCCCAATACGCATGGTTCCAATAGTGTAATTAGGTAGATTTGCCAAGGGCATCTGCAAATGACCGCGTCCGTAAGCGCTATGCCCGATTGCTTATGTAGAGGGGTAGTGCGAACCTGACAGCGCCATTATCCTGCCGGTCCTCGAGCCAGCGTTAAGACCAATGTCGACTAAGATCTTTCCTCGGCGTTCGTTTACCTGTGGATAGGTGATGACCTTCATGCAAGGACTCTCACAGCCGCGGGGCCAAGAATCAGTCCTTCGTGACTCCTCCGCCATCAACTCAAACCTAGCGCCATATGAGGGTCTGACCTACCCAGTAGCCTCTCAGCTTCCCGGTATAGTTGAAGATAGTCACGATGGAAGTTTGATTTCTAAATGGTACATCAGCGATCCTTTGCAAAGGTTAAACCCCCTTCTAGGCCGATATTTTCCGTGGACTGTCTCCGAATCTTGCAACTGACCATAAGACTACCAGATGGTCCGATCCTGCAAAGAATGCATACGACAACGCAATTGCGACCCTGCAAAAAGACTTTACAGATGAGGAGTACCAGCAGTTACGGCTTCAAAGCCAGCATTCCATGAACGATGTGCAGTCTGCGGTTGAGTCAGCCCGACAGGAGTATCAGACGAAGTCAAAAGGATCCAAGACCCAGTCTGCTTTAACAACCTGTTCATCTAGGATCATGTTCTATGGAGGTTAGCTCTGAACATCGGGTCTTCGAATCCCATACACAGGAGCATGTACTAATGGGTGTCATGCTGCCGTAGCAATATTTGATACCTTCTCTCAACATCATCCTGAGTACGTGTCCTTAGGCTGGGGTGCCTTAAAGTTTTTGTTCGTTGTGAGCATTGTAGCATCCCTTCAGTCTTGTGGGGTTTGCATTGACCGAATTATATAGGCTGTCCTCAACCATGAAGAGCTTCTTGTTGAAATATCCAAAGCAGTCTCTCGGATCGCACTCGTACTGCCTAGGACCGAGCTACACTCTGTGCTTTACCCCACGCCACGGATGCAGGAAGCTGTATCACAGCTATACGCAAAGATAATAGAGTTCGCCTTGATGGCAATCAAGTGGTACAAGAAAGGCAAATTATCTCACTCCTTCACAGCCATCATCAAGCCATTCAGTCTGGGGTTTAAACCCATCGTCGAGGAGATCGCCGAGCGGTCCAAGCACGTCGATGAGCTGGCCAGCGCAGCGGTCAAAGCCGAGATCAGAGATCTGCATGTAAACATTCACAGGCAAAACAAGACTATACTGCAATTGACAGAAATGGTTTCCTGTAAGCTGGGGGCTTAATTTGGTTAGCTCGTTGGATTCGAGGCTAACATCATCAAAGTCATGCAACAGCAACAGTCTCTACAGACACAGTCACTACTGGCGTTGAAGGAAGAGCACAAACAAATGTTCAGAGTCAGCCAACTTGAGGACATCAGAACAGTCGCACTACTGGAAGATACAGCCGTTGCGGATGATAGCCTGGCATGGTGCCGGTCAATGCGAAATCGACGGAGGCAGAAAGCACCCACACAACTCCCTCTACCAGAATTGTACAAACTCAAGACCTGGGCAAGCGATCCCTCCTCTTCCCTCTTACTTGCAGAAGGACAAGGAGTAAAGACGAGCTCGCTCGATTTTGCAGCCGATTTCCTCGACATTGTGCTTGAGCACGGGTACCCCGTCATCTGGGCCTTGTCTTCAATCATCACTGAGGTCGATGATGATAGTCTAGCACCGTCGATCTCCGGAATAGTTCGGTCACTCATATCACAAGCTCTAGCACTGAACGATGCCGTGGTAAGCGAAGATACTAATCCGCTCACGCCCAAACACTTCAAGTCGGCTGTCAGCATTACCCAGTGGTTCGATATACTCGAGCGTTGTGTATCAACTTTCCAGCAACTTTTCATTGTTTTAGACATGAGTGCAATCGAAGCTGCTTTGGAGCAAAGAGAAGCCGACAAACAGTATTTTAGGGTCAGTGACTTCATGGATCGGATCGTAAGCATGTCACAATCGAAAGGAAGAACTGTCAAAGTCATCGTTGTATCATGGAGGTTTAGTGCAAATACCTCCATAGATGCCGAATCCATTTTCGACGATAGGCATCTGTTCACTGACAGAGGACGGAAGATTGAGCGACTGATGAAGCAGCCCAGGTTCAGGGCTGCGTTCAAAAGAAAACATCAGAATTTCAACGACAGGTTCAGATCGTCGATTACTCTGGGAGATGGTTGATCGAGACTCTAGTTTGTCACGAGCCTGGTCTACAAATGCACTCTCCAGCAAATCGAATGAAAGCAACATCAAGGAGAACACGGCGAAGGGATTCAAGCATAGTCAGACGGCATGAACAGCGTAGAGCCGACTCAAGATTGTATACACGGAGAAAAGACTCCCATTCCTCAACACCAACCTAGGTCATACTTCTACATATACGAACAATTAATACATCCCGAGCCATGCAATTGCAGCCGCCCGTTGACGCCGCGTCTTCTCTTCATTGTGGGAGTAAAATAACATCATCTTAAGCCTCGTCGTAATCTTTCTTCCATAGAAGTCGTCGCTTGGAGAAAAAGCAAAGCGCGCAAAAGGAGGGGGGTGGGAAGGGCAGCGCTTTCAGCTTTACTTCCCACCAACAGTCGTGGAACTGATCAAGTACCCCTCCCTCCAATCATGACAAAATCAAGTCTATTATACCTCCTCTGCAGCAACGGACTCGTAGCCGCCTGCTCTCCTACGGCCCCTGCTCATGTTCATAAGGGTCGGGCTCTCGTACATGGCGGTGTAGTTGACAGGCTCGCCACCCAGCATAGCAGAACCGTTCTCGCGCTGGCCAAACGTAGGCGCGGGATCGCACCAGAAGTCGCGGCAGTTGGCCATGCAGCCGTTGGAGTAGGGGTTCTTCTTCCTGCGCTTGTTCTGGGTTGCGGCGCCGCGACCGCGGATGGTCTCGATGAAGGGGTCGACACCGAGGAGACGAGACCATTGCTGAAGACGGCCGCCCTTGTGCTTGTGGCCGTGAGCGTGCGCGCCAGTGGATTCCGGAGGAGTCAACGACGGGTGGTTGGGGTCGAGAGGGGTGCCTGTTGAGGTGAAGGCGGTCGTGAGAGAGCCGTCTTGGATGCCGAACATGTTTTCGTAGGTGGTCATTGCGCGAGAGACTTGGACAAATTGCACGAACAGCAGCATGCCAACCCAGGTGAGCTGGAGAGTTGTCCACACAGTAAGAATTGCCGTGTAGCCATCGGCGTTGACAACCTTGCAGAGGCTGGGGCTAAGGAAGTTGCAGGTTTCTGAGACCTTGTCCGAAATGTCTGTGAAGTCTGTGCCATTGGTGTTAGCGTGGAAGTAGAGCTCAGAGAATCGATGCTTACAGTAGTATACGAGGAAGTCGTAGGAAACGATGCCCAACGTCAAGCTGATCAGGTACATAAAGAAGTGGCGGTGGTTGTTAATTCCAACGCAGTTGTAAACCCAAGGACAGTGACTAGTCTGGTCAGTGAGGTTTGACATTAGAGGTAAAAGGTCTACTCACTGGTCGTGTTTCGCGACACACTTCTGGCACCGCTTGCAGTGCTTACTGCGGAGAGGCGTCCGGATCATGCACGTAACACAAAAGTTGGTCTCATCAAACTTCCACTCCTTGAGCAGCTCATCAATGACGGCCTTTTGCTCGGCAATGCCGTTCATCTTGGGGACAAATCCGGGGTCGTATCTCATCGCAGCGCTGTAGAAATAGGCACAGAGACCGAGGAAAACGCCAAAGATCAAGTTGAGCCACCAGTGAGAGGAAGTGCCAGCTGTGTGATATTAGCAAACGATTCAGCGTCGTATAGTGTAGCAAAGCTTACCAGCAGACCCGGTAGTCGCGGGAAGAATAGTAGTCAACCACCTCAGACCGACCAAAAACAAAGACGCAGAGAAGATACCAGCCAACCAGGGCTACTCTTGTCAGTCCAGATCGTTAATAATGCCAATTGAGGGACTTACAGTCTTGTGGAAGTGTCTCATGTCGGGAGGCGCAAACTCGATGACCTGTTGAGCACACCACTGAAGCGCATAACCAACGACTAGAGAGAAGAAGACACCAGCAAAAACGTTCAAGCTTCCCAGTATCGTGATCATAGACCAGACCAGAAGGAAGGGCCACAAGAACAAGAACTTGGTTACGAAACCCCTCTTATCCTGGCGTAGGAAGCGTGAACCAGGGAAGCTAGGCTCGATCGGCTGTCCATCTTCATCATATCCGCACTCCTTAAGAGCCCGATGCCATGCGCCGGTCGTGTTAAGCTCCTTAGCCGTGACAGCGGGCGTCTTGCCGGTCTGCGTCTTTGCGAATCGATCCGCTCCGTACTCGAGGAGCCTCTGTATACAGGCCGGGGAGCCCTTGACTAACGCCCAGTGAAGCGCAGTGAAGCCCTGCTCGTCCGTGGTGTGGATGCTAGCGCCCCAGCGGAGGAAGAGGTCCACGCATTGAGGGAAGCCCTTGTAGGCGGACCACATGAGCGCCGTGTGACCGTAACTATCGAGCACGTCTACGGGGATGCCTTGGTGGAGCAGGAGGACGAGGAGGAGGGTGTTGCCGTTGAAGGTCGAGATGTGGAGGGTGTTGTAGCCCTGGGCGTCGGTGATGAGGGGGTCGGCTCCGTGTTGGAGGAGGAGGTTGACAGTGTAGTAGTGACATCTCTGGGCGGCCCATTGGAGAGGTGTTGCGATGGACTCGCCTCCCTTCTTGTTGATCTCTGCGCCGTTGTCGATGAGGAACTTGCACATGGCATACTGGTTGTTTATAGCTGCCCACTGGGATGTATTAGCACAATGAGATCAGACCTGGCCGTGACAAAGGTTGGGAGGCCTTCAAAGAGGTAGCATGCAACGTACATGCAAGGGTGTGATGCCTTCATCATCGGTGAAGGTCGCATCGTACTCGCCCGACTCGAAGAGCTTCTCCATGGCCGGAACGTCGCCTACACGCGCAACCTGCATGATGTCGTTCTCTGCGCTGGGCGCATCGCCGCCGATGCTTCCCATCTCCAGCTCATTATTCAGTGTAGGCGCCGCGGCGCTCGTCTTGTTTGCAGGTTGATTCGGGGCCACGGACGCGGCGGCAGCGGCGGCGGCCGGCGTGGTAGATTTGTCCATCGAAGTCGGCGGGTCGGCGGTCGCGAGGGCCAAGCCTTTCTTTCGATGTCTCGGATTGAGAAGGAGTACGATCGGTTATCGATTCGGAGGAGCTGTGGAGGGTGGGAAAGGAAAGAGTATTATTTTGTTCGGGGAGTTTAAACTTCGGCTCGAACCTAGCGTCGCATTGCTTGAGGTAAGGGGATGGATGGATGGATGTGGTCCAGGCGAAAGAATTGAGACGGGGGGCTCGCACGCGTGCAACGGTGGACAGGGGTGTCACCAACAAACGAGAGATTGATGATAAACACAGCAGAGTGGAAACAAGAAAGAGAAAAATGTGCCACAGTTGGAAGGAGGACGCAAAAGACGCCTGGAAGCCAAGAGTGACGAGATTGCGTGTCGTCAGCTTTGGCAGAGCTCGGCAGCGTTGGCAAAGCGTTGACGACTGGGGAATTCGAGGTGAGCACCGAGTGCAGTGAGTGGAAGGGGATCGCCGGGAGACCCTCCCCCTAAATCGGACTAGCAAGGCTGAGCTGACAAAGGCGGGTCGACCACTGATGCAGTCGTCTGCCGTGATAGCCGTGATTGGCTGGGGAAGACTCAGCGCCCCAAAGCTTGGCATAAAGTGCCAGTAACACCCATGCTTAGCCTCACCTTAGAGGTTAGGGCGGATTCCTCGGCCTCCCTCAGCCTCGTCCGAAAAAGCGGGTAAACTGTGGCTGAAGTTCCGAGGTGCACGTACCACCTGCCACTCCTGCCACTCTCCTGTCTCTTGCGCTCGTTGGGGAAGGAAAGAGCTCCACTGACGGCATTTGGCGATTTCTTCTGGAAATCTGTCAACGACCACCCGACACGACTCACACCATCCAACCCCTCCACCCCTAGTCAGCCGTTTCGCGCAGGGTCTCCGGGGACACTCTCTCAACACACTTGACAATTCTCACCATCGCCAGCAACAGCGAAACCGCAACCATGGCCGACAAGATGGGCTCCTTCACAGAGTTCCTCGAATTCATCATGACCCCCTCGACGCCCGTCATCCTCATCGGCGCCGCCATCGTCCTCCTCTTCCCCATCCTCCTCCACTACATCCTCATCAAGTCAACACCCTACACAACCCTCCCCTCCGTCCTCCTCCTCGGCCCCGCTGGCGCAGGCAAGACCGCCCTCCTCACCCTCTTCGAACGAGGCGACGCCCCCGCGACAACCCACACGAGCCAGCGCCCCCAAACCGTCGAGCTCACGGCCTCGCGCGACAGCAAGACGGCCCAGAGCTTCCGCAATCACGACGACACCAGCGGCACCCACACCAAGTTCCTCCTCGTCGACACCCCCGGCCACGGCAAGCTCCGCAACTACGCCCTCGGCAAGCTCGCCAGCGGCGCCGGCGGCAGCAACAGCAAGAATTCCAAGCTTAAAGCAATCGTCTTCATGGTCGACGCCGCCGCCATTGGCGAGAACGAGGCCCTCGCGCCAACGGCGAGCTACCTCTACGAAGTCCTCCTCGGTCTCCAGAAGCGCGCCGCCTCGAGCAAGTCGTCCAAGCCACCCCCGCCTATCCCCGTTCTCGTCGCCGCCAACAAGACGGATCTGTTTACGGCGCTGCCTGGCGCGCTGGTCAAGTCGAACCTCGAGGCTGAGATTACGCGGATACGGTCGTCGCGCAGCAAGGGTTTGTTGGATTCCGGTGTCGGCATTGATGACGTCGGTTCGGAGGAGCACGATGACTGGTTGGGCGCGTACGGCACCGAGAAGTTCACCTTTGACCAGCTGCGCGAGTTTGACGTGGATGTGGATGTCATCGCGGGTAATGTTACTGGTAGCGCAACAGGCCCCGATAAGTGGTGGTCTTGGATTGCCCAGCGGATATAATGAGTGATGCAGCAGTAAATGGCATATAATACTACAAAACACATAATTATTACGTTGATGACAAAAGATATCTCTGTGAACTGAAGATTGCGCAAAAAACTTTGTGGTTGTGATTCTATCCTTATAGAATCAGACTGGCTGCCCTGTTCTCTATGTAGATGTTGAGTCTACTCCCATCCCAAGATTTCCAGGCAAAATGCTGCCAACCGGGGTCAGTTGATGCGACCCAAGATTCGCCC